AACATTTTTTTTATCATGGTCGATGTTCGTTCTTTCTATATATTGTATTCCAGTTCATGTAAGCCATTTTTCATTTTTTTATACTTTTGACGAGCCTTTTCCTTGTCACGCAACAAGCGAATGAGGTTGTTGGAAAACCAAGGTGGATATTTCTTATTATTACGTTTCCTAATGGGCACATACTCAGCAATAATTTGATCTAAAATATTGTAAAATTTAGATACAACGTCATCTATTTTATACTATTTAAACATGATTCCAATTCTGAGTTCCAGTCCACTTAGTACAAACGATTACTTATTATCTTACAATCTGCTGGAAAGAAGTTGTACCTAGGTATAAATTTGGGAGACAGCAGTTGAGTCCCCTGCATAAATAAAAGCACTTACAAAGGGGTTAATATAAGTCTACTCGAGGAATTATATTTTGTGACTCTTGCACTATAATACCGCATCTAGAATTACTTAACACTAAATCGAGTATATTTTGTTGATGGTTCAATACATGGTTGAACTGTTTCAGATCATAAGCAGATAAAAAGTCAACAAGGTCACAGGCGATAGTGCTGTCATAATTGGTAGGTCTTAGAGATGCATCCGAAGGGGAGATCAGACAATATCTCGCTGGTTAAAGTCACCAAACAAAAGCATGTCATTATCCAAGCCATCCATAACGCTACTACATTTATCTAAAAACTGCTCAAGATGAGTACATTTAAGAGGGGACGGAAAATAAACACAGCAGAGATGTAATTTGGTAGTGCCTAAAATTAAAGTTACCCATAAATCCTCATAGCGGGTTTCTAAAGTGTAATTTCTATACGCTTGGATAGACTTTATTAACGGCAATAAGTACACCTCCACCATCAGCAGCCATTACAAAAGTATTTGATGATCTCTCTTACACACTTGATAATGGTCGTCGAAAATTTCGCTGTTGTATATACCATAGTTAAGCTAAGTCTCCGTCATAATCAAATCAAAGTCATTGGCACTAACTTCAAGAAAAATGTCGTTTAGTTCTGTCCGCATGCCGCGAATATTTTGATAATAAATGCGAAAATTGAACTTTATGACTAAAAGCACTAATATCTTTTTGAAATAGTAATATCTAATGCTAATTAAACTAAAATCTTTAAAAATTCTTGATGAAGTAACTTTGCTGGTTGTTCTTCGCGTCCTTTCGAAGAAAGATTTTTTAATTTTTCAACCATACATGTTTGAAATTGTGTTTTTTGGCCCATATTATTGTTATTGCGTGGTGTCATTTGTTGGATTGCGTTAGATGCTCGGAGATTTAGACCGGTGACTCCTTGTCACCATAGCCTAGTGGTTTTGTGTTTAACTTTTTGTTGGGATGAGATCTGTTTTACTTGTACACAGCTGCAAGTAGATTGTTACTTTAGTTTATTAACGAGTCTGCATACAATTGTTTTAGGCAAATTCGATGTCTTGTTTTGCTTTTGTACACGATTACAAGATAAGATATCAGTTTCCGATAGAGCGAAACCTGTCAATTTACCAATTTGCATCACTGCGTTAAGGAAGTTTTCTTGTTTATGCTCTGGAAGATAGTGGATTTCTATATTATTCTGCCAGGAATCTTGGTCCATTACTGATAATGTTGATTGTAAGTCTTCAACTTTGCTTTGGAGCAATTCACTTTCAAAATGGAGTAGATTGGTATCTTGCGTGTAGGCCTCTTTAGTTTACTTTAGTCTTCATATTCTCAAATTTGGTAATCATGTAGCTTATAGAATCCTCAAAGCTGCGCATCTCTTTTCTCAAAGATAAGAACTCGTCTCTAATTGCCTTTCATACTATAACATGTAGCTCTTCTTGCATGATAGTTTTAATGGTTAATCGTAAATGTTCCACCTCATTATAAGTGTTACCACTCCCCCGTATATTTGTATTAACATTACACATTTCATCAGAGGTACTCCCAGCCGTCATCGTAGTGTTCTTAAGTGGTATATCATCATTCTTTGTCTGTCGCTGTGCAGATAACATCTCTATACTACAATGAGGACATTTCCAGTCCGACTTCTTTTTAAAGTTCGCACTGGTAAGATTTACACACAGATAATGAAACTGCTATTTACAATAATAAAAATAATAAAAATATAGAAACAAATCGGGTGGGATAATATTCCCTCATCTATCCTTAAATACGGAAAGGATTTACTTGTTCCTGCTATATGTCATATATGCAACCTGAGTTTTTCATCAGGTTGCTTCCCTGATGCCCTCAAGAAAGCCCTAGTTCACCCCATTCACAAGAATGGGGATCGAAGCCAGCCCAACAATTACCGCCCCATTTCTGTCTTACCCGCCTTGTCTAAGATACTGGAGAGACTGATCAATAACCAGTTAATCGATTTCCTAGAGAAAATGAACTTATTGTCCCCTGGACAATTTGGTTTTAGATCTGGCAGATCCACAGCAGATGCGGTTCACTCTCTTACTGATCATGTGATCAGAAACTTAGACAAGGGTAATAAATGCCTATCGGTCTTCCTCGACTTGGCCAAGGCGTTTGACACGGTTTCCATTCCCATTCTCCTGACTAAGCTGGAGGCAATGGGTGTCAGAGGTACCCAACTATCTCTCTTCCGAAGCTATTTTTCAAACCGTAACCAGGCTGTCATTATCAATGGAAAAGTGAGTTCTGAACTATCCATGAATTACGGTGTCCCCCAGGGAAGCATTCTTGGCCCTACGCTTTTCTTGGTCTACATCAATGACCTCTGCTCTCTCAAAATCCCTGGCTGTAAGATTATCTCCTTTGCAGACGATACCGCGCTAACTTTCTCAGCCTGCTCCTGGAAAGATACCTTCCAACTTGCCCAATCCGGTTTAGACTTAGTCTCTCTCTGGCTCCTTACAAATCTACTCACTCTCAATTCCAAAAAAACTCAGTATATCACCTTTTCCCTTCACAGCATTCCACTCAATGCATTTGACAATTTTCGCTTAATTGCTCATTCCCATTCTGACCTCCCCTCCTTCTCATGTAACTGTCTACCTCTTACCTCTTCGGATTCCACAAAATATTTAGGTATTATTATAGACAGTAAACTGACCTTCCAGCCCCACATCAACCTCACCGCTTGTAGACTCCGAAAACTCATGTTTGTTTTTAAAAATCTTCGCCAAGTCGCAGATCCGTGTCTGGTCAGATCAGTCTACTTAGCACTTTGTCAGTCACTTATAGTTTACTGTTTAACAACCTGGGGTGGCGCGAGTAAGTCAATACTAATCAAGTTGGAAAGAGCCCAAAGAGCGGTCCTCAAAGTCTGTACGTTTAAGCCCCTGTTATCACCAACCTTCGATCTTTACCAGTATTGTGAGGTTCTTTCCGTGCGCCAACTCTTTATTTTATTAATTGTCCTCAAACAACATAGTAGTTGCAGCTATGATCCCTCTTTACTGTCTTCCCAGAGAAATCACCTGGTAGTACGTTCAACCTCGTTCAAAACCGTGACCTCACAACGATTTTTCTGTTTCTTGGGCCCCTTCCTTTACAATAGACTACAACGTGAGCTCAACATCTTTCCTCTTACAAAACTGTTATGCAAATCTAAAGTCTCTAATTATTTGCAGACTATGAACTATGAGGAGACCGAATCTCTCCTTCATCCTATCAGGTAGGAAATATACTATAAATAAAATATACTATAATATATTCATACCCAACACACCCACTCCGACACAAACACACACACACACACACACACACACACCCAACCACACACCCACCCACACACATACGCCATTCACGCGCACACGCACCCTCTTACACACACACACACACACACACACACACACACACACACACACAAAACATTTCCTTCTTTTCTTTTTTTTCTTTTTTTTTGTTACTAGTTTCATCATATTCTGCACCAATATGACCTACATCCTGTGAGGAGAGACCTGGTGCTCTGAAACACAGGCTTTCAGCCTATCTCAGACGCCAGTCTTTCACAATCTAAATAATTTTGTTCCTTGGTGTTAACCCCAGTTCATAACTATATTAGTTTTTAGATTGTGGAGAAAATAAAGAATTTTTATTATTATTATTATTATTATTATTAAACGAAATTCTAAAATTTTGATTTTATTTGCTTTTTTTCAATCATTCGCCGTAATGAATAAATTAAATTGCATGCGCTAAAATAAAAAACCGTAGCTGAACTCAACCTATGATATTTCTTGTCTTGCATATTTCTTACGCGATATATTGTACATAGCGAGAGTCGGCGGACTGAATGCTCAAGGTCGTTCGCTAGGAGTAGCCCCTTAACTGGCAAGATAACATCTGCCGGGTTCGGCTTAGTGATGAGTCAACTCGAGTTACTAATTCGAGTTGCTCGTGAAATACATTATATATACAATTACGTCTTTTTTGGTCTAAGCGAACAATAGTAGAACAATATAAATGTTCTTATATGATTCACGGGACAGGGAAAAGGTTAAAGTAAAATTAAAAGTTAAAGTATATTCGTAGCAAGCTTTGATCTCATCTATGTTTTAGGTATACGGCATAGTGGACAGCAATCTTCAAACTTCAAGATTATTTAATAACTAGCTGTTCCCCGCGACTTCGTTCGCGTGTTAGGGTTTTTATGTTTCTGCGCGGAACCCTGATTCTTTTTCTAAAATAAAAGTAGCCTAAGTTACTCCTTATGAAATCAGCTATCTGTCAGTGAAAGTCCCGTCAAAATCGGTCCAGCCGTTTCGGAGATTACCCGGAACAAACAGACAGACAGACAGACAAAAATTTTAAAAATTGTATTTTAGGTATAGGTATCGTATTTACTTTCATATGCATTTAGTAAAAAACTGTAATTTTGACATTACAAACAGACACTTCAATTTTATTTATTTGTATAGATAATATTTCACAGTTGTCCAGTTTTAACAGCGTTTCTCAACCGCGCGGTGAATTCAGCCAAACGCCGCGCCCTTCTCATCCTAATTTCCCGGTCACGTGACAATCTACGAACGCCTGTTTTGTACCACCAAGCGAGCCATCGTACGGGCACGTTTTGTAGCTTCCTCGGCTGCGAGCTCTTGTCGCAGCAATGCTGACTCCCACGTGCTCAAAGCGTTTGATATTGCTGCCCGCTGGAAATATACCAGATTAGGTATTAGATACTAAAGTAATATATACTACATACTAGAACAGATACCAAGAACAAAATCTGTGAAACAGTGCGGGCCGCGTGGTCGGATGCACATAGTACCTTTTTATCACAAAGACGTAAGTTTGAGCTCGCGGGTTCTAACGCGTGTTGCAAACAGCCAAGCCTCGGCAACTTTTCTAGTAGGTACGTAATGCATCATCATCATCATCATTATAGCCTTTCATAAGTCCTGCTGAACATAGGCCTCCCCCAAGGAATGCCACAAAGCACGGTCCTGAGCCACCTGCATCCATCGACTTCCTGCATGTCTTACCAGGTCGTTATCTCGTGGGGGGTCGCCCTACACTTCGCCTATCGGTACGAGGCTGCCACTCAAAAATATTTCTTCCCCATCGATTGTCGGTTCTTCGAGCTATATGGCCGGCCCACTGCCACTTCAGCTTACTAATCCGTTGGGCTATGTCGGTTACTCTGGTTCTACTGCGGATATCCTCATTCCTAAGTTTATCACGCAGAGAAACTCCGAGTATAGCCCTCTCCATAGCTCGCTGAGCGACCTTGAGCTTCCTCATACGGCCAGCAGTGAAGGACCACGTCTCAGTTCCGTAAGTCATCACTGGCAACACGCACTGGTTGTACAATTTCGTTTTAAGGTTTTGAGGTATGTCTGACGAGAAGATGTGTCGTAGCTTCCCGAACGCTGCCCAGCCGAGTTGAATCCGTCGATTGACCTCTCGGTCGAAGTTGGACTTACCTAGTCGGACTATTTGTCCCAGGTAAACATACTCGTCAACAACTTCGTGCTTAGTGCTCCCAACAACTACCGGCATAGGTGTAATATGGACATTAAAATAATCTTTGTTTTGTCCATGTTCATCTTAAGACCTATCCGTTGGGAGACACTATTGAGGTCACTGAGCATAGTGCTTAGTTCCTCCAGCGATTCTGCCATAAGGACTATATCGTCGGCAAATCGAAGGTGAGTGATGTACTCGCCATTGCTGTTAATACCGTATCCTTTCCAGTCCAGAAGCTTGAAAACGTCTTCCAATGCAGCGGTGAAGAGTTTCGGGGATATAACGTCACCCTGTCTTACACCTCTCTGCAATTGGATAGGTTTCGTACTCTGGTTCTGTACTCGGATAGCCATCGTAGCTCTGCTGTACAAGCACTTCAGCACTTCGATATACCGACAGTCAACTTGGCACAGCTGAAGGGACTGCAGCACCGCTCGACGGAATCAAAGGCTTTCTCATAGTTCACATACGCCAGGCATAGTGGCAAATTGTACTCCTCGGACTTCTGTACAACTTGCCGAAGGGTATGTATGTGGTCTATGGTGCTAAAGCCCTTTCGGAAACCGGCTTGTTCGGGAGGCTGGAAGTCGTCGAGTCTGCGTGCGAGACGATTTTAATGACTCTCGAAAACAGCACGTAGACGTGGCTCAGAAGGGAAATCGGTCTGTAGTTCTTCAAGAGAGCATTGTCACCTTTCTTGAAGAACAAGACCACCGCACTTCTGCTCCACGCCTCCGGTGTAATGCCACCATGGAGGACGGAATTAAAGAGCCTCTGAAGGACTTCCAGTACCGGTTTTCCACCCGCTTTCAGAAGCTCCGCCGTAATTTCATCCTTGCCTGGGGCCTTGCCGTTTTTAAGATGCTGAAGAGCCATTCTAATATCGCTCAGATTGACGTCCGGGATATCTTCGGAATAGTGTCGGATAAGACTCGCTCTAGGATCGTTACTCACACTTGCGTGTGGTTCCAACGATGACGTGTACAGCTATACATAGAACCTCTCAATCTCACTCAAAATCTCAGGTGCCCCGGAAACGATGCTGCCACACTCGGTCTTCAGCTTTGAAAGTTGGCTTTTTCTGGCAGACAGATCTCTGGCAAAGGCTTTGGAGCCTTGGTTTCGCTCGATAGCTTTTTCAATACAAGCTGTATTGAAGTTGCGTAAATCCCGCCGCATGCATTTGGAGATCTGTCTGTTCAGTTGCCTGTATGCTGTCAAATCTGTTGAAGAATGTAGCTTCATCTCCCGTCTAACAGCCATGAGATTAAGAGTGTGATCGGAGAGTTTTTGTGTTCTTCTGCGGCGGGTTTTGCAGAACTTAGCTCCAACCGCATGGACAGTTTCCGAGCTTGTCATTCATATTGTGTGGTCATTGCAGTATTCTAGGCACTGAAAACGGTTTTGTAACTCGAGCTGAAATGTTTCTGGGCTTTGGAACAGAGAACGATGGGGACGGAGCGTTGACTTCATTAGACGAGACCTCTCCAACTTAACGTTTAGGTTCAGTGTGACTCTAACCATTCGGTGATCGCTACCAGTTTTCACCCTCGCGATCACGGAGACATCACTGAACAGTTGTCGTCTGGTCGTCATAATGAAGTCAATCTCATTTTTTGTCGAACCGTCGGGGCTCGACCAGGTCCACTTCCTGTGGGGCCGCTTCTGGAAGAAAGAGTTCATCATAAAGAGTCCCTCTTTCTCCATGAAGTCGGTCAGCTGCTGGCCCCTTGAGTTCCGTTGCCCTATTCCAAATTTCCCTACTTTCAGCTCACCGTTCTCTCTTGTGCCTAGTTTTGCATTGAAGTCTCCCATTAACACCGTATATTGAGTTTTGGAGGAATGCATGGCTCTATAGATATCCTCATACATTTCCTTAACCTCCTCATCGGGGTGTGCCGAGGTTGGTGCGTAAACCTGTATGACCTTCAGCGAATACCGTTTGGTGATTCTGAGTATAAGGTACGCAACCCTCGTCGACACACTCCCGATCTTTACAACGTTGTTAAGAAAACGGTAGACTTATGGGGGATTTCCTTTAAAGATATTGCATCTATAATAGATACTATAGCACCTTATCTAGACACAATTTTTAATACAAGCGTCGAATCTGATGTGTTTCCGGATCTAATGAAACATAGTAGTACATTAGACCCCGCCAATTTTAAACTAATTTCTGTACTACCAACATTAAGTAAAATTATTGAAAAAATGTTTTAGATCAGATGTTAATTTTTTTTATATAAATAAATTGCTTCATAAATATCAATTTGGTTTTACAAGGGGTCGCTCGACTACCGACACCGGAGTCGAACTTATAAAACATATTTTTGTGCATGGGATAATTTAGAGGATGCTTTGATCTTTCCAAGGCCTTGGACTGTGTACACCAGGAGACATTAATCAGGAAACTACAGTACCTACTATGGTGTCAAGAACACAGCGCTTTAATAGAATGCAGAAAGTTATTATTAATGGTAAAAGTTGTTCCGGCTTATCCGTAACGATGGGTGTCCCTCATGGGTCGATTCTTGTCCCACTCCTATTTTTAGTGTATATTAATGACTTTTTTATAGGATAGGGTGACAAACGAGCACATAGTCCACCTGATGGTAAGTGGTTGCTGTGGCCCATAGACATCTACATTTATCCTCAATAAAGAATCAAAATGCAGATGCGTCGTCACCCGTGAGGGCTAGGATGGAATGCCTCTGTTCCAGTAAAATGGGTCTCCGGTTCTCTACACTCACCATACGAAACACAGCAGTGTTAAGTTGTCATTTTACGCTGGTATTCTGTGAGAGCGTGTTCCTTCCCCGGTCGAGCCGACCCATTCGTGCTACAACCATAATATAGCTGCATCATGGCTCTACCACGTATAAAATAGTGTGGACGTAACTTTTTTTTTAACCAAAAAATATATGATTTGAAACTTTACCCACCTGTGAAGCATCTCTCAGTATAGCATTTCTTCGTTTACTTGCGTCTTCTTCCTTTCTCTGAGCGTAGACTAGTTGCATCCGACGACGTAGTTCGTCGGCCATGGTTTGTCTAATGCGACGGTCAGCTGCCAGGTAAGCGCGAGATTCTTCGTCCAAAGCTTTACCAATTAGCTCATTCGTCTGTTGAAAGGATTGAAATAACTTTATAAGTGACTGTGAGCCGAGAGTGGAATTGTGTATTTAGAGTTAAAATTAGAATTAGATTGTGATATGAAGTCAAATAGGTTTTCATTCATCATTAACATCATGCAGATTCATTATCTTCTTCATGCATGCACGTCTTGGTATCCGAGTACTCTTGACCCTACCCTCTTCGAGCAATTTGCTCACATGGTCTTCGAAAGTTAGTCTCGGTCTACCTCGACACCTTTTAATATTAACTTTCGCGCTATATATTTTCTTCACCATTCGGTCTTCACTCATTCGCTCAACGTACCCAAACCAAGAAGATAATGAATCTGAAAGAAGCGAAAGAGGTTTGTAAGGATCGTGACACTTGGCGATCTGTTCTCTCTGGCTACCCCGTCAGGGATTGTGCGTGAAGATAAGTAAGTAAGTAAGTATTAACATCATCATTAGCCGTTCAAAAGTCCACTGTTGTATATACGGCTTCCCCACGGAATGCCACAAAGCACGGTCCTGACCCACCTACATGCATACACTTTCTGCATTTGTTACGCCAATTTATAAAAGAAAACGACTCTGGCAAAATGTTTGATTAATCTAATTTACAATAGCTGTTGGTTTTTTTAGCACATTTTTGTTTTCGGATATATACGGTCTGTTAACAGGATCACACACTGCCTACATTTGACAAACTTCTGAATATATTTGTTGTATCTTTTATCTTTCCTCATTATCAAAATTTTTTTATAGGATAGGGTGACAAACGAGCACACAGTCCACCTGATGGTAAGTGGTTGCTGTGGCCCATAGACATCTACATTCATCCTCGTTTGCGAATCAAAATGCAGATGCGTTTTCACCCGTGAGGACTAATATAGAATGTCTCTTTTTCAGTAAAAAGGGTCTCCGGTTCTCTACACTCACCATACGAAACATAGCAGCATGAAGCTGCTATTTGACGCTGGTATTCTGTGAGAGCGTGGTTCTTCCCCGGTCGAGCCGACCCATTCGTGCTACAACTATACTACTAATATAGCTGCACCTTGGCTCTACCACGTAAAACCTAATAAAATAAATAATTCTTCTTTATTTACCTCAACACTGACTTGTGTAATGAGACTTCCTTGTTGTGTATTTTACGTATCGGGTTCTAACCTTTTTATCATCATGTAAAGCCAGTAAGTCCGCGCAGCGTCGTTCCTTATATTGGATACAGTCCAACAGTTCTTTTTTCTTCAGATGTTGTTCCAGGGCATTCTGAAACTGCTTGGACTCGAAGCATGATCGCTCCCGAGCTCGCTTGTCTTGCAGGTACTGCTTGAATTGCTCCGAGGTTTCTGCTTCGATCTAGATAATTTTAGACATATTTTATTATATTTCTTGAAATATAGCTCAAAATGGCTGGTAATTTAAACAAAAATAATCATACAACTCACTGTAGTGGCGGTGTAAAGTTATCCACTACCCCATATCGTCACGTGGGTGTCGTGAGAGGCGGCAGAGGGAAACAAACCAGATGGGTAGCAGCGACTTCCTAATAATAACTAGGTAATAAAAAACTGTGGTTGACAACCCGATAAGCGTGGCAATTATGACAAATATACCCCTTTTGTTGCAATCTATAGGAGAGAGGGGAGGCTCAGCAGTGGATATAATGGATGGACTCTATTAATCTAATCTAGCAAAAGCCTACACTACGGACGGTGTATTTTTTATTTGTAATAAATTCCAAGCGTCTGTAGCTTAAACTATATTTTCTATAGACCAAATTTAAACTATCAAAAACACCTTTTAAAATTTTCTTAATCCGTACCTTAAACCCGAAACTATCAATGAACTATTTTTGTAATAAGACTGTAAGCGTTTTGAAAATGCTGTTATATTATGGTTGCAGCATGAATGGGTCCACTCGATCGGTGAGGACCACGCTCTCACAGAATACCAGCGTAAAATAGCAGCTTAACGCTGCTGTGTTACGTATGTTGAGTGTCGAGAACCGGTGACCCTTTTTATTGGAAACGAGGCATTCCATCTCAGTCCTCACTGGTGACAACGCATCTGCATTTTGATTCTAAATCGAGGATAAATATCTATGGGCTATAGTATCCACTTACCATCAGGCAGAGTGTGTGCTCGTTTGTCATTCTTATTCTATAAAAGAAAAACTATGTCTAAGCACTGACTTCAGAATGTGAAATTATTTAATTCTTTTTAGTTTTTTGAAGTCGGCTTTTACCTCGTTTTAAAGTTATTAAAAAAAAGCAGAATTGAAACAATCAACAAACCATTTCTCTTTCTTGTTTTTCCTTTAACCACATCCTTCGGAACTGATCTGCAAGCCTCTCCCTTTCTTCATTTTCTTCCCTCTTGCGAGCTAAAGCCACTAACAGGCGCCAGTCTCGCTCTGGTATTGAATCTAGGACGTCGCTACCGCATCCTTCATTGTCAATCGACCCAATCAGTTCTGATATTGTACTTGAAACTAAAATTAAACAATACTTCATAAATCTGTTTTATCGAAATGTAGGTACTTCTTTATTGAATTACACTGATAAATGAATTTAAAGTTCACATAATGGTAAGATGATAATCTAGTAGACTGTAGACTATAGACAAGCTAGGGAGGCCCTGCCTGAAATAAACAGTCGTTTAACCAAAGTTCTAATGAGACTGAACAAGCCGCAGATCAGGATAGTAACAAGTGCTATCACAGGACACGTACGGCACCTTTAGCAAGCATTTATTTACTATAGGTGTTACAGAGAGTCCCCTGTGCAGGGCATGTATGGGGAGGAAGAAACGGCGGCCCACGTGCTACTGAAATGTCCGGGGGTCGCTACGTACAGGGCTAAACATCTCGGCACGCCGGGATCAAAACCCGAAGTTGCATGCAACATCAAAGGACTTTTGAGCTTCTTTGGGGAAATCTCATGGCTCGAATAATCACATTATTCCTGCCCACATGCTAAATACGCGCATAGACGTGGAGTTGCGGAAAACAGCCCCTCGTAAACTAAACTAAACTAAACGAAAATAGTAAGATGATAGCTTCTGCAGCCCGTGTACCCCTGCAATTGTAACTAATTTCGAACAAAGGCTACAGATGTCGTCTTCTCTGAGGACTAAGAGGAAATGCCTCATATTCTGTAATTACATTGGTTATTGACTCTCTATACCATTTACACCGGAACTCAGGAGTGCACGCACTGCTGTTTGACGGCACAAATAGGCAAGAGGGTGATACCCACAGGGACTGCTATACAAAAGGAAAAGTAACCTATTGTTTAATAAGGGTTATTATACTACTAAAGAGTACATAATTGATAATAACCCCAGAAAATGAGGTGATCGCACCATGTTGTTTCTAAATGTTTTCATAGTTAATTGTACAAAATATTATATTGTAAATTAATGTTTAAAAAAAGTTTTTACGTGGTAGAGCCATTCTGCAGCTATATTACTGGTATAGTTGTAGCACGAATGGGTCGAGTCGATCGGGGAAGGACCACGCTCTCACAGAATACCAACCAAAAATAGCAGCTTAACGCTGCTGTGTTTCGCGTGGTGAGTATAGAGAACCGGGGACCCTTTTTACTGGAAATGAGGCATTCCATCTTAGTCCTCATGGTCGACAACACATTTGCATTTTGATTCGTAATCGAGGATAGATGTAGATGTCTATGGGCCACAGCAACCACTTACCATCAGGTGGACTGTGTGCTCGTTTGTTACCCTCATCCTATAAAAAAAGGCCCGCTGGGTTCTTGTTGGTTCTTCACAGGACTGAGGTTTTTTTCGAACCAGTGGTAAAACTTAAATGACTCAATAAGTATTCTAGTAATTTCTATTGAATAAAAATAATCGTAATCCATTCTAATCTACAAACATACTATAAACGTCCCATTGCTGTTATAACTTATAATACTGAGATTTTATTATAATTTCTTCTTCTATTTCTTGATCAGCCTGTGAAGATGCACTGCTGGACATGGACACATATCGTTGTAGGGAGGACTTGCCTCAATTATCACGCTTGGGTGACACATTGACGATTGCATTACCAGATGTGAGCACCTTTGACACTGCTGCCCGTATGTGATCTGAGTATTTACGTTTAATTAATAGAATCAGGCATTACTTTGCGGATATCCATTATATTAAATATACTAAAAATTTATTAGCTAAGATCGGGTTAAAAAATAGGAAAAATATTATGTCTTACTTCGTCTCTAGAACAAACTACGTAATTTTTTTTACGCCAGATGTAAATGAGATTGGTTATAGCGCCATCTATTGGAGGCTTTAAGGGGACTACAGGAGCTAAACGCAAGTTTTATATTGCCTTAAAGCAAAGATAAAACATCTTTGCCAGTATATCATCCAATGCAGTAAACTAAATCAAAAAAATATATGTATTTTTTGGTATATATGCTAGTTAGATAGTGTGATGAAAACATGATACTACTAATTTGATACGATAGAAAAAAATCATAAAGATACCTCTAAAAATGTTTTTAACGAGTAAAAACCATACTAATATACATGCAATCATTTTGATTTTTTGTCAGATTATTCTACAAGCAACACATTAACGTAATAGTGTTTTAATTTTTTAATAAAATGAATAGATTTTCTTTAAATCGCATTTTCTTATTTCTGAAATAATATGTACGGATGTTTGCGTAAACGCCTGTGTACCGACAGCCGACACTGCTGGCCACAGAGTACATTGCTGCTGGCCGAGGCCCGATGCTATACAGTACGTGTCGCTCTCTTTGCTGTATTATTTACGTAAAGATTGTTTAATGTTTTTGTATAATTTTATTTTTAAATTAATTGTTTCTTATTCATAAATATTCTTCTTTTCATAAATATTCTCCTTTCGTGTAAATATAAAATATTTTAAGTTTAGATTAATTTAAATTAAGTTAATAATTATAATTGGTAAATACGGGAACTAAACTAAACCAAAAGTAAAACCCGTTACGAAGACTAAAAAACGTTCATATAACTCAAACGAACGATATTAAAGGGTAAGAACATTTTATTTTTTATTATTATTAATATTTATTTTTATAACAATAAACTTATGATTTGGAAACGTAGTGTATACCTGAGTACCTGGGATCGATTCCAGGAATATGAAGTCAAATTTTATTTTTTATTTAAAGTATTACGTATTTAGAAAATTTAATTAAATATTTTTATAAATAGTAATTAAAAATATATTTATTTTTATAACAATAAACCTATGAACTTAGGAAACGTAGTGTATTACAGTAGTGCATTTTGTAGAATTATGGATTTGCAGTTTGCACTCGAGAGTACCTGGGTTTGATTCCAGGAATATGAAGTTAAATTTTCTTTTTTATTTAAAGTATTACATATTTAGACAAATTTATTAAATACTTTTATAAATTTTACTAAAAAATACATATTTATTTTTATAACAATAAACCTATATTTGCAGTTTGCACTCGAGAGTGCCCGGGTTCGATTCCAGGAATATGAAGTCAAATTTTCTTTTTTATTTATTATTTTAAGTATTACATGTTTAGATAAATTTATTAATTACTTTTATAAATAATAACTAAAAAAGCGTTTGAAATGTAATTATTTTTACAGGAGAAAGAAAGTTGAAAATATCAACCCGAAAGTTAGTATTACCAATGTGTAACTACCTAAAACTTTTTCTAAGCTATAATAACAATAAAAAAAACTAAATATACCTAATGTTTTTGTCAAAAGACCGCGGCTTATTGATAAATTAACAAATAGGCATGACGAAATAACAGAATCATCTGTAAGAGTTAAGGTTTATTGATTTTGTTTATAAGTTAGAATTATAATTATATATGAATGTTAGGTATTTTACTTGTAGCTTAACAATTTTTCAAAAGCAAATACAAAAAAGTAAACGAAATGCAAATTTTTATTACCCATCTTGTGAACCATAGAACGATAATATTTAGAATTGTATTTCTACATAATTTGAAATAATCCAGTTTTTGCATAGATTGGAAACAGTACCATCATTGTGAAGAAAATCATCATTGTGAAGTTATTGATATAAGTAAACATTATCCATCAAAGCGTGTACTGGAAGAAGCCTGTAGTACACAGGTAATATTCATAACATCAGCCGCACGTTGTAATGTAACATGCCTAGCCACAAACGCACACTCACACACAGACACATACATGTGCATATATTTCTCAATTTTATATTTAATAATTTGAAAACTAGATTTTGTTATCATTGTCGCACTTACAACTGCAAGTATGTACTTATTATATACCTACTATTACGGAGATTGAGACTGTTACTCCTTAACACAGGTTATTCTGTAACCTAGCTAGGAGAAAAGAGCTACATCCACTAGATTGAATATAATATTTTATAGTAAGTTAGTACAAACGATATAATGTCCTACCCATATACTACAATCACTTTTATATAAATAAAATTTATTAGTATTATTATATATATATATTATATATAAATAAAAATAATTTAAATTTCATCGAATCAGTTTTATTTCAAAATTACCCACATCCTTAAATTTTCAAGTAACATTAAATTAAAATTAAAAATAATTTCGTTGTCCCCTCTATTTCTTTGTTAGATCTTTATCTTACCTGCGTTTCGTCTATTATAACACTCCATGCGTAAAATTGCTAATCCGTTAGTGTTAAACCTCACTGTCGTTAGATGGCGCTCACATGGATTGTGTAAATGTGTGCGTGCATCATTCGAGGTTACTTGGCTCTTGTAGTCCTCTTAATAATTTTGATGACAACGTTCGTATAAATAGCTATTTCGAAAAATACACTTTACCTACTGTACTGAAATTTGGGATAGGTCTAATGACTCCTCTACACTACTCGCGAAGTAACTTTGACGAAGTGCTCGTCGAAGTCCATCGCAGTCCGAAGAACGTGACTACACACTCTTGCTACTTCGCGAAGAGCTCAGTCGTCTTGAGTCTACCGCACTCTTTACATGAATAACTTTCAAGAGGCAGCTGCTATAGGTACCTACTTGTGTATATATAACTACATAAATAATTATGTAGAAAGCTACATATTTAATATTTATATATACTAAAAAAAATATTCATAACTGGCGTACGCCGAGTAGTGAGACGCTTCGTGTAACTTTGGGAACTTCGCGAAGTCTTAACTCTGGCGCAAAAAATCGACAGCGATCGGAAGTCCAGAGGCGAAGCGAGGTTGAACGAAGCGAATCGAAGTACCTCTCTACACTATTCTCCTCGCCCAACTTCGATCAACTTCGCGAGTAGTGTAGAGGGGCCATAATGTTACAAGCAAGATTGATGGAGTGATTCTGGAGGTAGTTCTAATGAGGGTTAATAATCTTACGCTCACCAGATATCGCTAGTTGAGACTTAGGTGAACTTATTTGTTACGCAGGTCGTCACACGGTGTCATAATCACTGAAAAGCTGCAATTTTATGGTAAGTTTTTTTTTGGTTTTTTAGTG